TGTATGACAAGGCAGTTTATTCAGAGTAAAGATATCTGGTACAAGCGTGCACGGACTCGTTCTTTCAGCTCATATGGAACTTGCAGACGGAGCCCCGAAAACACAGTGCACACATGTTTTATACAGTTTAGTAAAGTAGGTTGAGTCTGGCAGATCTGGTCTTCTGGTTGGTCCATGCTGTTTGAGCGTTGTCCTCTGTGATTGGGTCTAGGAGATCTACTCAGGCCCTTTGTTCCGAATGCTCAGCAAAGTAGGAGATTTGGTGTGTGCGTTTAGTTATCTCTTATCTTGAGTAAGTCTGTGTGTGTGAGTGCATCTTTGCAAAAGTCACGAGATGTTATTGTCTATAATCAGCAATGACCTTAACACCCTGTGGTCAGGCGTTACCTGTTTCATCAATGTCTATGCAAGGTTGGTGTCAGCATTCTGTCTCTGAGTGTGTGTTCAGCATCATGTGCCTCTTGTGCAATGCAGAACATGTTTTCTGCAATATATGTGCCTTTGAGTTCTTGACAAAACTTGTCTTGAAAAAGGAATTAGTTATAGCAATGTAATAGCAATATGCTATTTATAAAAATAGCATTTCTTACACTAGTGACCACTTGCAGAGCTGCCACCAGTACATGAGTAATCTCAATAAATGCCAACCTGCTCTGTGTACATAATGTTGCAGGCCAAACGGACAGATGTCTCTTGGTAGGACGAGTCAGTTCTAATGAATCTCCATAGCTCATGTGTCTGCAAATTAAGGAAATTATGCCCATCCAGGTCGAATGTAGTACTCTTTGCTAAATTACAAAATACAAATTTAGTCCCCTTTGACTCAACACATTTTAATCTTATAAAATTATAGGCCTATATTTGCTTTGCCTCTAAATGTTGACTGTATTTTCCAATAACATCTCTCCCTGATTCCTCTTATCTCTTTTCCATTTTGTTCGTCTGTATGTCTTTCTACTGTGAACCTTTTTCTACCTACCTGTTAGAATACCTTAGAATGTGTGGCTCATTAAAATGCTTCAGCTCGTTCTCTTCTGTGTCGCCAACAAAATATGCATTTTTCTGTTATTGATCAATAACCCTGTATCAGCCTGACTCAAACTAAACAGAAGTGACTCAAAGGAACACATCTGCTCTGTTTCCAGGACTGTAGATTTTAATCAAAAGCCTTCCGACTGGGCACTGTTGTCTATTCAACGTCTATTCCACGTTGGTTCATCATAATTTCATTGAAATGACGTGGAAACAACGTTGATTCAACCAGTGTGTGCCCAGGCAGTAGGCCATATGATCAAGAATATTTGCTGCTGTATGATCTTGAGAGACCTAGGCTGATAGGCATCCCTCTCCTCATAATCTAATGGCTGTCAGTCTGTGCTCAGCCACCGGAACAGTGCTACATGGCTTGCTGGCTAGTGGCTAGAGAAAGTAATTCCCAAGAGAAGGTCAGTTCTATCAATACAGTAGTTTGTGGGTATCGTTAAAATAACCCGTTTAGCCTAAAGGGGCATTTAGACGCTCTATGGACTGTACATGAATAGTTTCACTGTTCTGTTCTGCCTGAGTCTAATATGGTAGCATAATGCCATAATTCTCTCTGTTATAAGGGCCCCTAACCTAATGTAGCAGGCGTAGAAAGATGCCTGAGCGGAGTCCCAACTTCTGTTTTTCAGGGGAAACAGAAGTTAGGTTGAAAATACTATATCCCTGAAAACCAGAAACATCCGCTTTCTTCCAATGCCGCTAAGGGTGGGACCCATACAGTATGAAGATGGTCAGTCTTACTGTAATGTAGAGAACAGCTTATCCTGTGCAAGTGTGTCCTGCGACTCTAGATTTTGTTTAGCTGCCTGTCTCCCGTTTCAAATGTACAGTGGCTTACAAAAGTATTCACCCCCCTTGTAATTTTTCCTATTTTGTTGCCTTACAACCTGGAATGCTTTTTGGGGGGTTTGTATCATTTGATTTACACAACATCCCTACCACTTTGAAGATGCAAAATATTTTTTGGGGTGAAACAAACAGGAAATAAGACAAAAAAACAGAAACACATTTAAACGTTTCCCCTTAAACCACTCAAGTGTTGCTTTAGCAGTATGCTTAGGGTCATTATCCTGCTGGAAGGTGAACCTCCGTCCCAGTCTCAAATCTCTGGAAGACTGAAACAGGTTTCCCTCAAGAAGTTCCCTGTATTTAGCGCCATCCATCATTCCTTCAATTCTGACCAGTTTCCCTGTCCCTGCCGCTGAAAAACATCCCCACAGCATGATAATGCCAGCACCATGCTTCACTGTGGGGATGGTGTTCTCGGGGTGATGAAAAGTGTTGGGTTTGCGCCAGACATAGCATTTTCCTTGATGGCCATAAAGCTCAATTTTAGTCTTATCTGACCAGAGTACCTTCTTCCATATGTTTGGGGAGTCTCCCACATGGCTTTTGGCGAACACCAAACGTGTTTGCTTATTTTTTTCTTTAAGCAATGGCTTTTTTCTGGTCATTCTTCCGTTATGCCCAGCTCTGTGGAGTGTACGGCTTAAAGTGGTCCTATGGACAGATACTCCAATCTCCGCTGTGGAGCTTTGAAGCTCCTTCAGGGTTTTCTTTGGTCTCTTTGTTGCCTCTCTGATTAATGCCCTCATTGCCTGGTCCGTGAGTTTTAGTGGGCGGCCCTCTCTTGGCAGGTTTGTTGTGGTGCCATATTCTTTCCTTTTTTTAATAATGGATTTAATGGTGCTCCGTGGGATGTTCAAAGTTTCAGATATTTTTTTATAACCCAACCCTGATCTGTACTTCTCCACAACTTTGTCCCTGACCTGTTTGGAGAGCTCCTTGGTCTTCATGGTGCCGCTTGCTTGGTGGTGCCCCTTGCTTAGTGGTTTTGCAGACTCTGGGGCCTTTCAGAACAGGTGTATATATACTGAGATCATGTGACACTTAGATTGCACGCAGGTGGACTTTATTTAACTAATTATGTGACTTCTGAAGGTAATTGGTTGCACCAGATCTTATTTAGGGGCTTCATAGCAAAGGGGGTGAATACATATGCACGCACCACTTTTCCCTTATTTATTTTGTAGAATTTTTTGAAACAAGTAATTTTTTTTCATTTCACTTCACCAATTTGGACTATTTTGTGTATGTCCATTACATGAACTCCAAAATAAAAATCCATTTAAATTACAGGTTGCAATGCAACAAAATAGGAAAAACGCCAAGGGGGATGAATACTTTTGCAAGGCACTGTAATCCTGGGCTGTGCAAGCTGGACTCAGGGGTAGACTTAACATAGTAAACAAAAATCTGTGACACTGAAATTAGTATGATATGTTACGTTTGGTATGGTATGTATTAATTTGTGGGTCCATTTCGTATGATATGTTACGAATTACAATTCGTATGATACGTTACGAATTGTTATTCGTACAATATGTTACGAATTTGAAATTCGTATGATATGTAACGTTAGCTAGGCTAGGGATTAGGTTTAAGGTTAGGGTTAAGGTTAAGGCTAGGAGATGGTTGAAGGGTTAAGGTTAGGGTTAGGGGAAGGGTTTGCTAATATGCTAAGTAGTTTCAAAGTAGCTAAAAAGTAGTACGTCGTTTAAAAAAAGTAGTTTTCAAAGTTGCTAATTAGTTAAAATTCTAAAGTTGTCCATGATGAGAGTTGAACACGCAACCTTTGGGTTGCTAGATGTTCGTGATATACACCCAACCATCCACTCGGACCAACCAGACCAACCACCCGCCTTTCATAAGTAACCTTCGGTCTTATGTAGCTATCAAGGACCTCTACGACAAAGGGCTCTTTCACAGATGCTCCCTGTCTCCTGAGATCCATTAGCTGGGCATTTCAGTGTTCCGGATGGGAGGCTCCACAAGCCCCAATGCTGACATGAAGTCAGTGACGACTGACACTGTCTATCAGCGCTACACATCTCAGACACAGATAAATGACAAGTCAAAGTGCTTTTGTCTTTTTTTTTGTCTTTGCACAAATGTTCCAACCCAACACATTTTATACTCTGAAATACCATAGGAGGGCTAAGTATTAAATGAAACATAAATGGAATTTCGATAGACAGCTTTACTATAATTGAGAGGACAATGACAACATACTTACAGGAGCATTAAATCATTCAGTGATAGAAAGCCAAAACATAGACATTTGCTGTATACCAGAGAATCATTCCATCTTACCATAACTGATAAACCTAATCATGTCATGGCTCTTACAACAGCCAACGCCTTATAGGCCTACAACATTTGTCTTCAAACAATTTGTCTTCCAACAATTTTCTACTGAGAATGTAATATCTTATTAAAAACGTGGCTATGACTAACCCTGCAGCAGTGTAGATTGGTCTCTAGCTGACTGAATATAAAACATTTCTTATAGAAAAATATAATTTTACTTTGGTTGAAGATGTCAGTTATGTCAACTGAGGTGGATGTTTACAAGGTATGAGGACTGGAGAGAGTGGGCAGTTTATGTCATCATTACAGAGCCTCAATTATCCCTGCGGGTTTCCACAAAACCTAATGGCCCTGGCCTTCAGACTGTCACTTATAATGTAGCTCGATACACAACAGTATGATTCAACCCTATCAATTCCATTACCATTATAAATAAATAAATGTTTGTCTGTATGGAGAGTACAACAATCATTCCAGTTCATTCCTCTCTCAGATGTGTACACTGTCAGTGATCATGTCAGGAGCTTGGATAGTCTTTTAAATGCTATGGAATTAATGTGCATATGAAAAAGCTCTGACGAAGGCCAAGAGGCTGACACAAAAAGTGAAACGAACAAGAGCAGTGTGAAGGTTTTCTTGGAATTACTCTCATTATTCCATATAAAATCAAGGTATACAGTAGGTATGGCAACAACGACTGACATTGCATATTAAGTGAGTATAAGGTCATGAATCCTAGGAGGATGGTGAGTGAACTATGTGAGTTGAAGGTTTAGCAGTGAACAACTCGAGTTTGTCCTCATTCATCTCTGCAGGATCTGGTCCAGAAGTTTCTGCAAAACAACAAACAAATCATTTAGAAATCAAAGACAGGCAAATACACAAATCCTTGCCTAACCCTTCTTTCAATCTTCTAAAAGCAGCTGTAGTTCAAATGGGAAAGATTCCTCATTTTAAATTGGCTTTCACTTCCATCAACTGTCTGTCCCCTAAGGTGGATAGCCAAGTCCCAGTGGGGGAATAACGATAACCTGCTATCTGGCTAAACAGCCTACAGTGCAATAACTCTCCTCTTATACTGAAGCAATCTCACGTTAGCCATTTAAAGCTGCCTTTCAACAGTATGTCCTAAGCTTTGCAAACAGACTCTTCCAGAAGTCAAACTAAATTCTCCTAATGATTTGAAAATTGATCATTGTTTTCTATGAGGATTTTTCCATTGCAATTTCAATAAACCTTCTGAATTGACAACTGAATTGATCAACATTTTTGCTTCTAGACCAGCATACTGCTGATCTGAAATGAGGCGTCAAAACATTGCTAAAACAAAAGCTCTCTTCCGTATACTTCTGGTTCAGCCCATGTGACAGGGCTGTAGTGGAGCGGGTCGAGAGCTTCAAGTTCTTCGGTGTCATTTACATTTTTTACATTTTAGTCATTTAGCAGACGCTCTTATCCAGAGCGACTAACAGTTAGTGAGTGCATACATTTTCATACAGTGTCCACATCACTAAGGACCTATCATGGATCTATCATGGTCCAAACAAACCAACACAGCCGTGAAGAGGGCATGACAACGCCTCTTCCCCCTCAGCAGGCTGAAAAGATTTGGCATGGTCCATCAGATCCTCAAAAAGTTATACAGCTGCACCATTGAGAGCATCTTGACTTGCTGCATCACCGCTTGGTATGGCAACTGCTTGGCATCCGAGCGTAAGGCGCTAAAGAGGGTTGTGCGTAACGCTCAGTACATCACTGGGTCTGAGCTACCTGCCATCCATGACCTCTATACCAGACGGTGTCAGAAGAGGGCCCTAAAAATTGCCAAAGACTCCAACCACCCAAGTCATAGACTGTTCTTTCTGCTACCACATGGCAAGCGGTACCGGAGCACCAAGTCTGGGACCAAAAGGCTCCTGAACAGCTTCTACCCATAAGACTGCTGAACAGGCTACCCGGACTATTTGCATTGACCCCCCTTTTCTTTTGCACTGACTCTCTTGCACTGGCTCTATGCACACTCACTGGACTCTACCCACACACTCACACATACTACACTGACACTCCAACACACACACACACACACACACACACACACATGCACACACACGCACATAGGCACAGTTTCACACTCTTGACATACGCTGCTGCTACTCTGTTTATTAGCTATCCTGATTGCCTAGTCACTTTTACCCCTACCTACATGTACGTATTACCCCACCTCAACTATTTTGTACCCCTGCATATTCGGTACTGGTACTTCTTGTATATAGCCTCGTTATTGTTATTTTATTGTGTTACTATTTCCTTTTTGTATTTTGCTAATTTTTCTTACTTTTTAATTCTGTATTGTTGGGAGAGGACTCGTAAGTAAGCATTTCGCGGTAAAGTCTACACCTTTTGTATTCAGCGCATGTAACAAATACAATTTGATTTAATGGAAATGAAGGTTCAGGTGCCATAACAGAGAGAGTAACCAGCCATAAGGCAATGCCATACACAGAGTATACGGCTGCGTAAAACACACTTAATAGATTGATTCTCTTTCCACAAACGAGTATACAGATGTACAGTTGAAGTCGGAAGTTTACATACACCTTAGCCAAATACATTTAAACTCAGTTTTTCACAATTCCTGACATTTAATCCTAGTAAAAATTCCCTGTCTTAGGTCAGTTAGGATCACCACTTTATTTTAAGAGTGTGAAATGTCAGAATAATAGTATAAAGAATGATTTATTTCAGCATTTATTTATTTCATCACATTCCCAGTGGGTCAGAAGTTTACATATACTCAATTAGTATTTGGTAGCATTGCCTTTAAATTGTTTAATTTGGGTCAAACGTTTCGGGTAGCCTTCCACAAGCTTCCCACAATAAGTTGGGTGAATTTTGGCTCATTCCTCCTGACAGAGCTGGTGTAATTGAGTCAGGTTTGTAGGCCTCCTTGCTCGCACACGCTTTTTCAGTTCTGCCCACACATTTTCTATAGGATTGAGGTCAGGGCTTTGTGATGGCCACTCCAATACCTTTACTTTGTTGTCCTTAAGCCATTTTGCCACAACTTTGGAAGTATACTTGGGGTCATTGTCCATTTGGAAGACCTATTTGTGACCAAGCTTTACCTTCCTGACTGATGTCTTGAGATGTTGCTTCAATATATCCACATAATTTTCCTTACTCATGATGCCATCTATTTTGTGAAGTGCACCAGTCCCTGCTGTAGCAAAGCACCCCCACAGCATGATGCTGCCACCCCCGTGCTTCACGGTTGGGATGGTGTTCTTCGGCTTGCAAGCGACCCCCTTTTTCCTCCAAACATAAATGGTCATTATGGCCAAACAGTTCTATTTTTGTTTCATAAGACCAGAGGACATTTCTCCAAAAAGCACGATCTTTGTCCCCATGTGCAGTTGCAAACTGTAATCTGGCTTTTTTATGGCGGTTTTGGAGCAGTGGCTTTTCCTTGCTGAGCGGCCTTTCAGGTTATGTCGATATAGGACTCGTTTTACTGTGGATATAGATACTTTTATACCTGTTTCCTCCAGCATCTTCACAAGGTCCTTTGCTGTTGTTCTGGGATTGATTTGCACTTTTCGCACCAAAGTACGTTCATCTCTAGGAGACAGAACGCATCTCCTTCCTGAGCGGTATGACGGCTGCGTGGTCCAATGGTGTTTATACTTGTGTACTATTGTTTGTACAGATGAACGTGGTACCTTCAGGCGTTTGGAAATTGCTCCCAAGGATGAACCAGACTTGTGGAGGTCTACAATGTTTTTTCTGAGGTCTTGGCTGATTTCTTTTGATTTTCCCATGATGTCAAGCAAAGAGTCACTGAGTTTGAAGGTAGGCCTTGAAATACATCCAAAGGTACGCCTCCAATTGACTCAAATGATGTCAATTAGCCTATCAGAAGCTTCTAAAGCCGTGACATCATTTTCTGGAATTTTCCAAGCTGTTTAAAAGCACAGTCAACTTAGTGTATGTAAACTTCTGACCCACTGGAATTGTGATATAGTGATTTATAAGTGAAATAATCTGTCTGTAAACAATTGTTGGAAAAATTACTTGTGTCATGCACAAAGTAGATGTCCTAACTGACTTGCCAAAACCATAGTTTGTTAACAAGAGATTTGTGGAGTGGACTCCAACCTAAGTGTATGTAAACTTCAACTGTATAGGATCTGAATTTGATCACCCTGTTGTAGAAGAACTTTCCTGAAATGCAGGAAATGTAAAACGTTTAGTGTTTGAGGTTTAAAAAGGCTTCTGAAGTTTGTAATTTCCACTTAAAAATTTCAGACTTGATTTTCCCTTTTGAAAAAGGTATCACCCTATACAAAAATGTACATTTTTATAATCCACATTTCCTGTTGCTGCAGGATTATTTTCCTCCCGTAGCAAACTGTCTCAAATTAAGATCCTATATCTGTATGCGTAACAAACACTCATGCATACATACATACACTTGGCGTCTAGAATAGAACAAAGGTCTGTGCTTGAGATACCACCATGTATACCACTTGACACTCCTGAGTGGAGAGTCCCTACACACCAAATCTGTGCTAATCCAAGGACCCAATGTGTCCTTGAGTGTCCATAGAGCTGCCATTCAGGAACTTTTAAAATCACAAAAGGACATGTGTCTTCTCAACAATACCTGGATTCAAACTCATTTCACTGAAGCAACAGCGAAACATGAATACATGAATAAATCACACCAGTGCACAGATATTGATTGTGAAGACATTTCGATGACATATTACTGTAGGGAGGAAATTCTACAAAGAAGTCAAACAGCGGCCTCTGCTGGGCATAGATTGTAAAACGAGCATGCTGAAATGCATTTTTATTGGACAATTATACCGTTTTTCAAATGGCACCTCATCCAAATATCTAATGAAAGACTATTCTTCTAAATACGCCTTCTAACTGTATTGCAATGTTGCATACCTTGTTCTTATCTTATGACCTTCTTAATCTTCAGTGTGTTAAGTTAAGCACATTGAATGCCTCCCTATGAATTATTATTATTTTTGTAGGGGTTGATACCTTTTTTGTATTGGAAAATCTGAAATGTCAAAGTGGAAATTACAAACTTCAGAAGCCTTTTTAAACCTCAAACACTACAAGTTGTACAAGCACATTGAATGCCTCCCTATGCACTCTTCAACACTTTAGTTTGCAATGCTGTTTTCTGTATTTAAATTTTCAGACATGGCTACAGTATATAAAACTATGTTGTGAATAGTTTGTCACTAAGTACCAGCACCAACCGAACATACCTTTTTAAAAAGCTCTGCCCGCAATCTGTTGGTCTGCGATACCACCCTCCTTTTCTCCTCCTTCTTCTTCTTAGTGACCTCAGGGAGCTTGTTGTAAATCCTAAGTAAAGAGGGATGGTTAGACATGGTAGGTTAAGGTTGTGAAGGGGGAATATTCTAGAATTAGCAGGCCAGGGGCGACTCAGCTATTCCCAGAAAATCGTCACCATAGAAAGGAAGCTTTATCTGCCCAAACCCACAATGGCCAAACCTGGATACACTGATAAAACCAGCATCACACTGGCTCCTTTTTCACTCACATAAATAGTCAATTTGTTCCCAGATCGACCCAGTCAGATTAAAAACATGACAATGGGAACCTATCCTCTGATCAGGTGTGCCTTCTCAGATAAGACATGGAGTAAAGAAAATCATGATAACGGGATACAGAAGGTAGTTCATATCTCCAATCAAGACAGACGTTCGGTTGTCTGACATCCACAGTGTGTTTTGCGTGCGTGTGTGTGTGAGGAACAGAGGCATGTAAGAGACTGACACGTCACAGTACAGCTCTGTCTGTAAACCTACCGTCTGGAGTGCAGCTGCATCTCCTTGCCTGATATGGCCCTCTCTCTGGGTTTGAAAAGGTTATCTGGGAAACACACAAGCATCTGTCAGGAAAACACACACACACACAAACACACACACACACACACACACACTTTCCACTTTCCTTACTAGGCTTCATTACTCCTGTCCTTCTGAGAGCCGAGGGGCTTGACTGACTCTTGTCAGCTCATCACTGAGACCAACAGTCAGCACTGCATAATTAAGATGTGAGTCTGAAGGTCTATATTTAGCCTGCATCATTACCCTCATAGAAGGCTAAGCAGGAGAGGGAGAGAGCAGCCAGAGTTAAGGTGATGCTAGACTATTACTTCACTGTCATAGTACTAGGGTTTTGGAGAGACTAGTCTATAATGTATTGTAAAGTACTGTCATATTGGGAAAGGAAATGTCTAACATTCTGTAGTATGTGGCGTTCTTTCCCTGACAAAAGTGTGTATGTAGCAATTTTCATTTTGTATAAGCTATTGGGGAAAAAAATACATGATAGCGACTAAAGAAGGTAAATCCATGTAATTCACCGATAATAACCATTTTGGTTGTGGAGTTGGACGTTAGCAAGACTGCGCTTCAACTGAACTGCAGTACTTGATAACGACCAGCAGAGAGCAAAGCTGTTCCCCCGGACTAGGATTGAGAAATCACTAAACGGTATACTCGTACTCATATGTCAGACATATTCCATCACCGTACCACTGAGCGGGTGGGGCTTGGTGCAGTTCCTCCTATGCCTTCCTTTCTCCTCCCAGAGACCCTGCACCAGGTCTGGGTCTGCACACTGCAGGGCCTTCCGCCGCCTAGCCCTCTGCTCCAGCCTCCTCAATCTGCCCTGGGAGCGGCTGATGAAGTCTGGCCGGAACATCTCCAGGGCCTCCTGGGGTGGAGAGATGGAGCAGGGACGTAGGAAAGCATAAGCTGCTTGTTTATTTACTGCTAGCCAGCACTGGCCCACTCATTTTGGTAAAAAATAAATAAATATACAGCCTAGATTCTATTCCGTTATTCTGAAAAGATGCCTCTGCCCTTGATGACTCCCCTTGCAGATTGTAATTGATAGATGTGAGGTAATATGGTAATAAACTCCACATAGTCCTCTGTAAGAATGGATACAGGTAAGGGAACTTACAAGTAAAACCCTTTGTGATCCCTTCATCCTTTGCAATCCCCTCATAAAGATGTTTCACATTGGAGTTTTATTCTTCAGACACACTCTTAGAAAAAAGGGTTCCGAAAGGGTTCTCCGGCTGTCCCCATAGGATATCCTTTTTGGGTTCCATGTAGAACCCTCTGTAGAAAGGGTTCTACATGCAACCCAAAAGGGTTCTACCTGGAACCAAAAGTGTTCAACCTGGAACCAAAAATGGTTATTCAAAGGGTTCTCCTATGGGGACAGCCGAAGAACCCTTTAAGGTTCTAGATAGCACCTTTTTTTCTAAGAGTGCAGGGAAAATAAAAGCATTTTAACCTTGACTGGCACCAGTTTATATAGAATGGTAAAGCTCTCGCTAATGAATGTGAAGAAGATATTCTTCAATATAGTAGAAGAAACATTCCGTTTGAAAGAAAGTCCTTCACTCACAGATTACTCTTTACTCATTATTTGCAAATATCTTTTCAAATTTCAGATAAAGAAGGTTCACACAGTGACCATACAGCATTATATCATATCATATTACAGTATATCATATAATGATACATATAGGAAAATGATTTCAGAAGATATTATCATGACAGAGTGATATTGATCCACACATACTTTGAGACTGAGGGCTCTGGGTTTGATATCCTGAGGATCAACTGTCAGTCGTGATTGGCAGGTGTCTGCTTGGTGTGGACAGAAATACTTAGCAACATGCAGATCTTCTCTGGAGTGACCTTGTCTTTCTTCACTCTCCTTACATAGTGACTGTCTTCCCCATGTCCTAGTATCCACTTTGATTGGCAGAGACAGAAAACAAATATACAGGTAAATGCCAAAATTAAGGAAGCACTTGAGTAAACAAGGGATACAAAGTATATTGAAGGCAGGTGCTTCCACAAAGTTGTGGTTCCTGAGTTAATTGAAGACATGCTCCAGTACTAGTAAGTATTTTTTCAACCTTTGGGCTGGATGTGTCAGAATTACTGTCTTACCTCAATTAGCCACGAAATCCCTATTTTGAAAACAACTGTTTTCTGGAAGCTGTGCGGCGCATTTTCCCTACGTGAGCCAATTTGAGTTTCAGCCAATGAGCTTCAGACCCTCGCCATTTGAGTGACAGTTAGCAAGATGCACACACAGCAGAGCGAGAGAGAGAGCAATGACGTGGTGCACATATCTGCACATTTGTGACGTAGTACACAATTTTCGGGGACCACTTTTGATTAGTGAGCACTACTTACAGAACTACTGGCTAAAAAGTATACAAAAGTACCGGAGAATATCTTTAAGCAATTAAAACATCCCACCATGCTTAGGGGTCATGTATAAAAATGCCCAGTTGCCCATTATTTTGGCTACCATGGCTAGGGGTTATAGGTAGCCCAGCGGCTGAGGAATTGGACCAGTAGCCGAAAGGTCTGGTGCTGGATAAAACGGGGGAAATTGATCTGGCAACTGGAGGGCTGCTGGGTTCATATCCTAACAACTATCCCCTACCGTTGGGCCCTTGAGCAAGGCCCTTAAGCCCACAACATGCTCTCCAGCAGCTCAGTGTGTGTGCGACATGAGTTACGTTCAAGGAAACGGTGTTAAGCGCTACACTCCTCAAGGAAAGAGTGTGTGTGTGGAAATTAAGAGCGCAGAAGACACATTTCTGTTGATCGCTGTAAAGACGGACAATCACATTGTATTTTAGAAGAAGAGATCTCAGTGACTTTGAAAGAGGGGTCTCAAAGGAGCATAGGGGGTTTAAGGGTGTGTCTCAGTCACCAGATCTCAACCGAACTTAACACTTATGGGAGATTCTGGAGCGGCACCTGAGACAGCGTTTTCCACTACTATCAACAAAACACAAAATTATGGAATTTATTGTGGAAGAATGGTGTCACATCCCTCCAATAGAGTTCAAGACACTTGTAGAATCTATGCCAAGGCGCATTGAAGCTGTTCTGGCTCGTGGTGGCCCAACGCCCTATTAAGACACTTTATTCAGATGTTTCCTTTCTTTTGGTAGTTACCTGTATATTCCAGTGCATATGCAGTTAACTCTTCATCAAACATCGTAGGTGACATTTTGCACTTATGGCAAAAATAATCATCTCATATAGAGGGAGTTTATTACAATACTGTGACTGTACTGCATTGTCAGACATTAATTAAGATATTTTTCCTTTTTGTGATTGAGAAACAAAGAGGTTTTCAGATAACCTAGATCTTACTTAACATGTGCATTCAGAATCATTTGCAGAGATGCCATTTGGCCCTTTTTTAATTTTCCTTTGCATATTTACATCACATCTAATCTAACAGGTAAAATGAGCATGAGGGCTGAGTGAGAGTTGAGTTCTTTGTGAACTAGAGTATGTGACCAGGGCCCAGTTTTTCAAACGTTATCTATCTGGATTACACCTATCAGATAGGATGAAATCCAAAGATATAGAAGGAATGCATTTAATCCTATCCGATAGCCGAAATCCGATAGATAACTTTTGAAAAACTGGGCCCTGGAGAAGAGGGAGAATAGTTGAGTCCTCTAACTGACCCCCACTCTCCACGACTCAGTGGGTAAAGCAGAGAAAAAGACACGGCATGAATAATGTAAACCATAATGACAGTGCATCTATCCTGCACTCTCTAACCCCGTTCCTCCACCTCCTTTAAAAACAGACCCATTTAATATCAGACTCAACAGTTTTTCATAGGAACACACCATCAAATGCTCTGGCGCCAACATACAAGAGATCTATGTATCAAGTCAGACTATTTCAACGCTGTCATCGGTATAGCAAGCAATGCAGCAAACAAAACCAGAGTATAGCGAGTTTATAACACCGGTAAATTACTCCGGCTTCAATGCAGCAAATACGTTGGGTCCATACTTGCGAACATAAGCAACTAACAGGTTTTCCAGCACAAAATGCGTATCAGCCAATTAAAATCGTTGATTTACTTGCACGTGACAGAACGCTAAATTGTAGCTGGTCCCATCAGATAACATGGCACATGTTAGCCCTATGCTAACCTCAACAGGTGGCACTGATTTTATCCTGGCACAAATTCTTCATTAGCCTAGATCTTAGACTTTATATCCACCAACCAATGGCATTAAAATAGGTCAACCCTGGCCACTAGAGGGATATTTTAAACCTATAAATTCAAGGTGTACTTTTGTTCCATTGGTCTGTAACAAAATGTTGAGTGACAATATTGCATTGATGCATCCTTGACTAGGGTACTAGCTACTACTGATGAAAAGACAGTGAATGAGTCCACTAGGAGGCCAGCCAGAGAAGGTATGTGTGGTCTATTTGCTTGCTGTACTACATTTACTGCTGCAATGAGCCAAGCTTTACCTCCCTGGTGTGAGTGTAGCTGCTGCGTACTGATCAAATGACAGACGCTGCACTGCTCTGCTCATAAATGATGTATACTCTGCAATGCCTATGAGACTTCCATAACACTTACCCTTGGATATAGGTTGTAAGAATTCTAGGTTATTATGGCTACCCTACAATGCCCCTCAAGGCACAGAGTTGTCCCTTTGAAACAGAGTTAGTCGCTTGTACAAACAAACCTCTCCAATACATTCACAATGGACAAAACAAGGGCACAATACCACGCAGAACTCTGCAATGCCACTCAAAATAGTTACCCTACAATGCCCCTCAGGAAAAACGTAGTACCTTTGAAACAACAGCTAGAACCCCTTGCAAATTACAGCTAATTACAAACAAACCTCTCCAATAAATCCACAATGAACAAAACCAAGGATACAATGCCACTCAGGTGCTGTGAACTCTGCAATGCCATTTACAAAACTTGTCCAGTACAATACCAGAGAGGGTATACAGAGATCCTAGGTATTTTGTGGTGCTTCTCAAAGCAGACTCCTGGCCTAATTTCAGTTCAGGCAGTGCTTAGCAGCACCAAGCAGACACGACATTCTCCCCTGTCCTCTGAGCCATAAGCTAGCCTCCACAACCTGCCTTGGGAGTGAGATCGTTTAAAACAATACACTCATTCTTTTCATGGGGCACTTCACCCGGTGTAACACCCGTGAAAGCCTAACACCGCCACGCTTACTGGCTGGAGAGGGTAGATAATATATGCAAAGGATGTGTTGGAAGTGAGAGAGGGGGATGAAATGAAAAAAGAAGCATGAGTTGTTCCTTCACATAAGCACAGTGTATGTGAGCATGTAGCACTTGTGGATTTTTCACCAGTGTGCGTTTATATACGTGCTGCATCTGTAAGGCAGGGGAAGATATCCTATTAACAATGAATGAGGTATAAATCAAAAGGTGAGAGGCAGAGTTAAAAATGAGATTTTACACCCTCTAAGACCGCCTCGCTATGTGATTTTATCCACACAGCTATGGAAATGGAGAGCCATTGAAAGGAATGCTGCTGGATTTGCATGGGTACTTTAGAGTTGTGCTCTGACATGGGGAGATGAAATTCATACCTGGACTGATATTGAAAGCAGGGTGTCTGTGTGTGGAATTTCTCAGCCGACAACAGCACAGCTCATCTACAATTTCATTGTGCCGGTTGGCCCCGGTGTATGAGTCGCCTGTTCCTCTGGCTGATGAGAATAACCCTGAGGTAAGATTGTGTGTGGTTAAATCAGATGTCCTATTCTTAATACCATCAGTATCTGCCATTTTGGGGACCTCGTAGCCCCCTTGGGTTGATGAAGAGCCTCTGCTGTGACCCACATCAGTCTCTGAGTTGTCCCATCTATGGGTGCAGCTTAGTGACCCCATAGATCTCCGGAGGTCCTGAAGTGTTTTGGGGTAATCCAGAGGGGTTCCAATGTGGGATGAGCCCCCAACGTACAGAGACAGGGTGGACCTGTGCACAACCGGCTTTGTGACCTCTGGCTGTCCTATGGAGATAGACAGTGACTTGTCCAGATACAGGACCGTGTTCGCAGACCTCCGAGTTACCTCAAACTGGACGCAGGAGCGGAAAGAGGGCTGTAGAGACAAAGGCCTGGAGGAGCTTCCATTGTCCTTGTGCCTGTCCCCACCTGTGTAACTGTGCCTGTGTTCAGGCCAGGCAGTCCTTGTCCCTGGCCCTCTCATCTGGACCCTGGCACATGCAGAATAGCTCTGTCTGTACTCTGTCACCTTTACTATGGTGGCCTTGTATCTGGTCACCACCTCAGAGTGCTTTGGAATGGCTGAGGATAGGACATGACTCATGACTGGGTTGAGGGATGTGGATGACCTGATAGGCTGGATCGGTTGGTGGGGATAAAGGGCCTCCTGTGATTGGCTGGCCCTTGACTGGGAGACCCTGCAGGATGTGATGGTGATGGAGGAGAAGCCCGTCTTTGGTCGGCCGCCCAGGACATTAGGGACACTGGCCGTCCTCAGCAGGGTTGGACTCCCTCTGTGCGGTACATGTCCACCCCTCTGGGAGTCCCCAGAGTGTGTCGGCCTCATTAGGGATGGTGATGTGGAAGCCCTCTCTCCCTGTCCTCTCCACATGCTCCATGAGGGGGTAGTATCCTTGGTGGAAGTCTAAGGAGAGGGAACCCAGAGGAAAATATCAGAGCTGTGTTGAAACAGTCAGTCTAAAAATACAGTGCATCTATCAGGTATATGAAATAGAGTGAGGGAAACAAATCCAATACTTTTCCCTGTGATATATTCTAGGGATTACTTATTATCGGCTTTCCTGCTCTCATTTCGAGATCTCCTTTTGTTACCATGGTGATGTGTAACCTGATGGCCAACAGTCAGCGACAAATTAACCATGACATTTAACATTGACATTCCAGGATTGCCTGGCTATCCAGCTTAAGACAGGACAATTAAGACAAGTAAAGTGTGCACGAGACGCTAAAACAATTCTCACACTTTCACTTCATATCAGACGTGTCATATTAGTGGTTCTCTGTGGTTCTCTGACAATAGTTGATTTGCAGGATGGATCGGGACTGTCAGTTAACATAAGGGCTGTTGTTTGCAGGGAAAACATCCCATGGCTTGTCTAAGGACAATAACATGTCCACGAGTTCCTGCATAAAATTGCACTCATGTTTACTCAAAGTCTGAGGACTGCGTGTCTTACAAACTTAATCAAATAGATTTGAATGGCAAAGTTCCTCTCCAGACTAAAACCCACTGCTGAGCTAGTGAATAGCCTCCTTGTCTAGATGGCATAAATCTAATTAGAAAAGCAAGGAATACATTGCCATAATGGATGTTTTGACATGTATTAGTTCAGCATCATAAATTGTACTAAAACATAGTGAAGATGATATGATGATGATGATATTACCATGTTCAAACATATATATTTTTTAACTAATACACATAACCATGTTATTATTTGCTAGAAGTTGCAGTAATTTGTACAGGAAAAATAACTTTGTAAAGCTAACAATAATAAGACAAGTACAGTAATATTATAACAAATCTATCCCAGCTAGAATAGTAAAATGATTTTACCTCGTTGATATTAGATGTTGATAGGCTGGGGAACCTCCCACTTCGAAAACCCATGGACTTGAACCAATTGTCTTCTAATTTTCCATCTGAAATATGTAAGTGCCGGTAAACAAAAAATATATAGCCTACTGCTTGTTTTAGACATTGGAAAAAACAAAACATAACAGGCAAGTCCACAAAGCACTTAGCCAACAAGTTTCCTCACTGAAACACTTCTCAGAGAAGAAGCGCACTATTATTTTCTCTGTCCACTTCGCCATGAATGACAGATGTCGAGAGTCCCGACGAAGAGGAGACCGACAGACAGACAGACGATAGGCCTACAGCTATCTCCCCTCGGGCCTTATTGCTTAATTATACAACGGGTGGTTTGGATCTCCCATTGTTAGAGCCTATCTTGCCCATGATATACTAGACAACATACACATGGTGAGTACATTCATAAAAAAGTGCCATTGTTTACGTCGTTACCTAGCAACACACTACTACTTACACAGATAGGATAAAGTATTCCTTCTAACCCCCCCCCCCCCCCCCCCCCAAATGGTAAAAGTGGTTATCCCCTGGCTATAGGGTAACGCACCATAGTGCTCTGGAAGGCGCTGCTAAAGTAGTTATTGCCTGAAGAGGCACTTAACCTAATGTCCTGAAGCGCAAGGCGCTGCTAATGACTAATGTATGCGTGAGCAGATATTCACACTGCAATGTGAACACCGGTTGGCGTTTCCATCTAACCAAATATGGTGGTGAAAGGAAGCCCAGTGGCCGGCAGTGGTAGAAGATGGAGCGAGATGAATTTTGGCCGACATTCTGCACATCTTCTCATCGATAAAACATTTGATCTCAATACAGTTTTCTGTTTCCAAAACTAAAATCTGTTACGAACAGAGTGGACTATGTTTTGTAGACTTTACCCTTTGCCAATGTTTCTCAAAATGGTGTTATTTAGACAGGGGCGGTGTGTTCAATAGGGCGATATGGGCGACGCACTGCCAAACGGGAAAAGGAAGGGATTTTTTTTCTAATCAATTATATCACGGCAACAGTAGTTATCAGTGTTGTAATCTAGACGTCTGGTCTGATCTGCCACTAAATGTCCAATCAGGCTAAAGTCGTGCTTCAAATGGCCACCCCCCTTTTGGGGCGATTTCAGTCAGGTTGAAAATCGCCCAGAAGTCTGTCATAGACTCCCATGTAAAATCTATTTTTTTCAATATCAGAGCTTTCAATACAATCTCTATGGGTGTCTGAGGGCTTGCACTTACGCGCTTTCGTCATACGTAACATAACCATGAACGTAACTAAGAAAAGAGCGGGTAGCCTCATCAATCAATTCACTATTACTGTCAAAATGGCAGTGCAACTCGATTGTCTCTTTGAAAGAAGTTCCTTTTTGTCGGCGAACAAATCAAGATAAATTGGCAACGAAACAATTAGGACCTCCCAGACCAAATTTAATAATTCAACAGGTTTCTACTAAAGGCGGAAAGTCCTACACCCGAGGATTTTCCAAAAATTGGTACGAACGAAAAAATAACATTGCCACTCAACTGGATGAGGGATACAGGCTAGCTGTCCGCCGCCACAACGATGAGGTTAGTGTTGATAATCACAAGTTTACTGGAGAACTGAGACCAAGTAGAGACTTTGGACAGGGTGGATATGGTATAATAAAGGCAGTTTATTCAGAGGTAAAGATATCTGGAATCGCGTGCACGGACCCGTTCGTCAAACTCTTAGGGAGCTATACATTAAGCCCCATTACTTACCATATCAGATAAGAGAAATTGCTGCAGCTACATATATTTTACATCCTGGCCCTACATAGTTCACTATTTGCATCACTTACCAAAATATTACATGTGGTCATATATGCTTGGAAAGTGGAGATGCCATAGAACGTCAAAAAAGTAAACATTGCTGGAGACACATTGCCGTTTTGGAGAAGACATCGCGTTTGCTAGCGAAGAGATTTGTTGTGGCAAATGAACTTGGGCTGGGAATTGCCAGGAACCTCACGATAAGATTAGATATATGCATTGCGAGTCTCATGATTCTATACGTATTGCGATTCGATACTGTGATTTTATTGCGCACCATATGTCTGTTGCAGAGGGATCAGAAAGCCATGAGAACGAGTTTTGATCAGTCATGGAAATAAAAGTGCTGAAAACAAATTGGCTCCCAATGTGAAAAGATTGAGAACAAGCTATGAAGGAACAATAATGGTGTTTTGGTGCAGGTACAGCCAACTAGCGCTAAAATATTGCGATATTGTCAATACAGTATATCGTAAAGTATCACTATGTAACTCGATTTCTTTCACCCCAATCCCTCAAATTAACGGTAAATAACTGAATTGTTTGCCCCACATTTAGCTAAGATGATTAGCTAGCCAGCTAAAATGATTTATTTAGTTAGCAGTCGCATCTACAATAGTTTACTGTCAATAACATGTCTCCAAAAATGACGTGGTGTCTCCAATTGTGTTGACATTTTACAATTGCGATGCGCATCCATGAGTATCCACTTTCTGTAGCTCAGCTGGTAGAGCACGGCGCTTGTAACGCCAAGGTAGTGGGTTCGATCCCCGGGACCACCCATACACAAAAATGTATGCACGCATGACTGTAAGTCGCTTTGGATAAAAGCGTCTGCTAAATGGCATATTATTATTATTATTATTATTATTATCTGAAGAGAGCCCCGAAACATTGTGTGCAGACATTTTATGCAATAAATGAAGTAGGTTGAATCTAGTAGTTCTGATCTTCTGATTGGTCCTGATGAGTTGGGCGAGGTCCCCTCCAGGCTACTGTCACTGTTGCATTGGCTCTGAGTCGGGTTCTCTGTCTTCAAATGTTCAGCCTAAGAGAGGGGATTTTTGTGTGTGTGTGTGTGTGTGTGTGTGTTTAACAGTGATGATGTGTGTGTGTGTGTGTGTGTGTGTGTGTGTTTAACAGTGATGATGTGTGTGTATGTGTGTTTGTGTGTGTGTGTGTGTGTGTCCTCAGAGCAAGAACTCGTGAGTTGGAAGAACTGAGAGGCCTATGGCGTGGGTGTTGTCCTTGGCCACCTGCTGACAAGGCTGACAAGATAGGACCCTTTTGTCCATTGTTATTGGATAGGAACAGAACTTATAACCAGCTCCTGACCTAAATAGATCTTAGCACAACATTTTACTCAACATATCATATTCCATATTCACTATAACAAATATATTTACTACGACATTAGCAAGAACCGCCACATCCTCAGCCGGCTAATCCAGTGTGTGAAGTTTTGCGGAGTGTTTGAGTTAGCTTTGCGAGGCAAAGATGAAACTGAGGGCTCCACCAACCCTGGTAAGCCAACACTTTTGAGATCAGTCAATAAATGCTTCTGGTATTGACTTATATGCTGCCCCTGTCTTCATGTTGTTGCTGGACATCTCTTTTTTAAAATGTGTGTAGGTCACCTAAATCATCAGAAAAATTGCCCCCCCTGAGAATTTTTTCAGGAGCCGCCACTGTATTTAGAAGGAGTGGAAGGGCGAATTTAGTTATTGTTATGCGCACTTCACAGAGTAGGCGTTCCCTAACGGAAATATGCAAATACATGCTCAACGCACAAATGTGCTCTCGCTAGTGCTTGGCTCTGCCCACCTCCTTGCTTGTTCTAGCCACTAGAATTCCTTTGCTCCCATTGGAAACGACAGGCTGTGGTCTATCTTGGGTTAGTTATAAAAATCTTTGCTACTAATACTGCTTTTAAAGATCCACTGCCCAGCCATGCAATTTATAAACCTGATCTCCACTGTAAAAAGCATCTAGACATAATCTCTGACATTTGCAACATTGTTGCAATATTTAATTAAATAGGTCTCCAATGTGTCCCATAGTAATGAACACGAGACAGACAGGCAGCTTTTCTCAGCCAGTCGAAACCATGAATCAGCATCATTTTTATGGATATATAGTGCCTATAAAGAAATAGAAAAAAACTAAAGAGAAACTAAATGCAGCTAGTTTGCTGTCTTTCCAGCTTCAACCATTTTTGTTTGCCATAGCAACCTGCAAAGTTCTGAAAATATCAACCAGCGCTTGGTTAGTTTTGCTTTACATGGCAGTCGAATAGAACTAACGACCAGAGAACGCCCCAAATTGCACTTGACAACCAGTTAGTGAATGTAGCATCACGTTTTGTTGAAAAATGTAGGGTTTGGGAAAGAATCTTGCTTTTTAATGCTGGTAACCAATTGTATGAAATATTGTACACTCGAGTCCAAGGCAATAACACACTCGAGGCTTCGCCTTGTGGCTATGACCACATCACAGCCATGATAGAAAATGTCATAACACATGGCCTAATTATTCCTCATCACCTCACCTGGCGCTCGCATTTCTCAAGACGTGTTTACTCTAAAGCACAAGATGAAGTAAGTCAACTGCAGCTTATTGATTTATGGCCTACTTCAATGTGCAATGGAATTGTTTATAGGCCCCAAGTTATAACTCGCCTTTTCTTTATTTCCTGCTCAGTCCATTACATAATTGAAGCACTAAATATATTAGATGGATCTATCAATATATTATCTATATGTTCATTGGAGGCATGCAGTGAGCAAGGCTTTAAAATTAAAATGATAGCGTGATGTATGTAATACATTCGACAATCATGGAACACTTTCACCCTATTTACCCTATAATGTCATAGTGAGAGCAGGCAAATTGAAGTAATTGTATAGGCTATGTTGTGCTGTTCTGTTTACATGAGAACAAGATACTGTAAAGTAATTATGTTTACATCATGTGTTCCAGTTCAGAGGAAAATCAATTGGGACAGGATTATGAAAGTAAGCAATGACATGGAAATAGAATATTATGCATGCATAGTTTTTCTCAATTTTGCTTTTATTTATCTTGGCTATAGCATGCAGGGAAGGGGAATTGGAGTACCAGCAGGGGTACTTCTCAGGGCTTTGCTGCCGTGCATCACCAGATTGACACGATAAAATGAGGCAAAGCAATGAAACATAGCCCTGAGTATAAGCATGACAAGTGTGTGTTTGTGTGTTTGTTTATTTGTTTGTGCGTGTGTGTGTGTTTGTTTGCGTGTGGGGGGTGTTTATGATTACAAATGTGTCTGTTCTCTCGCCCCCTCTCTCTCTCTTGGGCAAGGGTCCATCTTTGCTTTCTAGAACAGAGGGTGAGAGAGAGAGAGGGTCTATGAAGAATTGGCTTTGTGACTGTGTTGATTGTGGTGTGTGAAAGCAGTGATTGAGTCATCCTCTCTGTGCCTGACAGTGAAGGGAACAGAGTATCAGGCCATGGGGGCTCACAGCTGGTTAGGGAACAGACAGACTGTGTAGTACCCAGGGTATATACAAATAAACACATCAGCAGTCAGCACTGAGAGTAGAGAAGACATTGTATGTCTCTCTGGACCTAAATCACAGCCATGGGAGAGATAGTTCACAGCTCATGAATATGTGACCCACTGGCATCAGTGGATAGCTTTTTGTTGTGGAGTCATCTTGTGCTTTGGTCTGCTCTGCTTCTTTCCTTCCTTTTACTTGGTCCTCTCCTCCTCTTTGCTATTGCCCTATCATAACCTATTCTATCTCCACTCTGACTTATTGTAGCTCAACCTAATGTTAGAAAACAAAGCTAGTTAGCGGTCCATGTAATTATTCCTAGAGGAGGAATGGCATACAGTACATACCTTTGAGTACCACACCGTTGTCATAACTCTTCCGTCTGATGGAGTCGATGCAAAGTTCAATTTGTCTCTGAAAAAGAGTAACATTTTTTAATTTGCAACAAAAATTTAAGCAAACTCATATTTTGGTTTAAAGATAGTATTTTAGTGAAAGGTATCATACACTGCAGAGATTAATCTATATAAAAACAGGGCTTTGTATTACAGCAATTAAGGGGACAAACTCAAGCATGCGGTAATTGCCTTGACTATGATGGTAAGAATGTGGTCACATGAGCGATAATCCATAAGAATTCTAGCTGTGATTCACAGAGGGAGAACATTCCAGTGGCCAAAGATTTTTGTCAACATCCAACTTCAATCGCACACCAGGAGGCAAGAACAGATTCTGAGAAATGTACAGAGATTAAAAACTCCACTTAACTCACTAGGTGTGGAGAGAAGCCCTTTCCTGAGGCTGACCAACTTTGTTTTCAACAAGGTAAAATTTCTTACACTAAACAATAAATATAAAATGACTACTGTACTGCAATTGTTTTTGCATAATTTCATATATAGTTGGTTAAAGCCCAACACATTTGGCTCAGGTGTATCTTACCTGGTAGAGCAGGCTGGGTAGCTCATATAATACTCCCCTTTTTTGTAAAGGCAGCCACCCGTTTCTAATGGAGGACAAAGTACAGACTCTGACCCGTTCTCTCCCAGGGGTGCACCTGATCCTGACGGTCTCCAGGTGACCCAGGAAACCCGGTGGAAAGGGCTCCTCGCTGCTTACTGCAGACTGGGGTCTGAAGCCAGGGTCATCTGACCAGTCAAAGCTATGCGTGTAGCCCTCAGGTGGGGTCAAGTCAGTCTCCTCAGGGTTGACGGTGACACTTCCTGTTCTGTCAAAATAAAGTTCCACCTCGTTCTGGATGGAACTCCCAGAGGGGTGAGTATGGAGCCACTCCAGCGGCAGCCACAACTCCTCTCCTGCTCCACCACCTTCACCACATGGCTCAAACCTGGGAACGTGGGCTAATACATCCACTAGAGATCCCTGGAGCTTCAGGCAGTTGCTCTGGCCTAATCTCCTCCTGTCCAGCTCTCTAATGGGGCAACCAGCCGACACTCGCTTCCCCGAGCCCCCAGCTCAGGTAGCGGAACAGGTGATCAGATCTCAGGTTTCAGAGCTTGCATAATAGGGACCCACAGCACAAGTTATTAATGAGGGAGACAGAGGCTCAAACAGCTCCTGTGGTTACCGTAGTGACGCAGCAAAAAAAGTATCCTGACTTACATTGCTTACTCAAACAAAGAGTTTAGAAAAAGCGACACATTCCCAAAAGGTTCTGTGAGGAAAAACACATCTCCCGGGAACTAGCAGACCTAGATATGAACAGAGGAATAGACAAGAATAAATGAAAGCGAAGCAAAACTATAAATATAGACGTCTAGAAATGTACAGAGTGGTGCATTTCTACTTTATAATTTCTCTCCTTTAAACTTTGCCAAAGTAGAGTGGTATAAATGTAAAAGTTCTCTGAGTTTACACTTCCTCTGTGATAAAAACAAAAACCTGACTGCTGAAGAATTCCATAATTATTATTATTATAATATAACGTTATTTTTGATTTAAGGCAACATTTGTGATTACGTATAACTTATTTTTAAATCCCCAAAACGTTACTTACCTCACTTTTTTTTTTAAATACATGAACCAGCAGTCAAAATCAATGGAACATTGGTAGAGACAAAATGTATGTCAAAGGTCCTCAAGGTAATTCCGACTCTGAAGAGGTTGTTGTTGATCAATGACTGTTATCCTCAGGCATTGATCTGTTGTAAACTCTTGTTGCCTGGAGCTGGGGCTGACTCATCCATAAATCCTTAGGTCTCTTACCGATTTAACTCCACAGAATGGACTACATTGCATCACCTCTTTCAAGTGCAGAGTGTTGTGATGATTTGGCTTTCCCAAACAACGGCTCCAAAATGTTGATTAACACATAATATTACATAAAGTTGTTGGTTTGGTTACAGATTGACAAGAGGTTAAAGCTGGCCATTCTACTATGCTGTGATTGGTATCAAACTGAGAAACGCCCCCCCCCCAAACCTGCCAGACCCTGTAAATCCTCCTGTGGGTATCGGTTAAGTCTACCAACAATGTTTCATGGTTGGTTTACTGATTAGCTCTGTTGAACGTTTCATGGCTCTTTGACCACATATTAATGAACTCAACACTAATGTTTTAGTCAGGGCCCCAGCTCCATACTGATCTGAGCTCCTTTCCCTAAATCGCTGTTGACCCCTCCTCACAGATCTGAAATAACTGAAGGTATCAATGATATGGTATGCTGTGTTTAGCTCTCTGTTGGCCTATGTGAGATTTCAGCCATGTTCCTTACACCTATCCAGTTCTTTTAGGATCTTTAGCAGTAATAGGACAGAGGGATTAGGTTGCTATTGAGCCCATGCTTCATCTCAGGATTGGTGGATATGCATTACTGTGTAATGCCCAAGGAATTACAACTCCAATCCACCACGAGAAGGCCAAAGGTAAAAACTTGGAATGTAACCTCTTGAACCCCCACATCACCATTATTTCAATCAATACGCCAATATGCTATCGACAAAGACTACTGCAGCATCAGTAAAACACACAACAACTATATTTGCAATGTAATCCATAGTCCACTGGTAGTCAAGTGGAAGACTTTGAATGAAGCAAACATACTTCTCTTAATTTATTAGTAGACTTTATACATGCAGAAGGAATTATCTGTTCTTGGACTGAACGCTGTGTACCGCCTACACAAAATGCATTCATTTACATTTACATTCTAGTCATTTAACAGACGCTCTTATCCAGAGCGACTTACATGAGCAATTAGGGTTAAGTGCCTTGCTCAAGGGCACATCGACAGATTTTTCACCTAGTCGGCTCGGGGATAACAGGACACATTGTATAATGAACAGCCATAAGTCTAAGCAGCTTTTCTGACCAAGGCCATTAATGTCACCAGAGGTAGAGAGCACAAAGAGTTTACTAAAACATACCTGTTATGATTTTCCTCTCCCCTGAGAGATCGAATGCTGTAGGTTAGCACCCTCCAGTGGCTAAAGTTCTGTGCCATCAGAAAGAACATGGAGAGAGAATGGTCAATTGGCCAATATCATTAGCTAGCTTTCCATTGGCGACAGATTGGTGACAGATTTTCATGCGAATATTCTAAAATCTGCATAAAGAAAATATGCTCATTTTCTCACCTGTGGTGTGTTTCCACCAAATGGACTTGTTGCGAATAAATATCAGTGCGTGATGATGTAGTGCACACACATTTAATGTACTTTTTCGCTTACGTTTTCATGTACTGAATAAAAATCAAAAGTTAAATGTTTACATGGCATTTTCAAATCTAATGATAGTTTTGTCACAATAACTGTTGCGTAAAATAGCAAATGTGCCTACTTCGGTGTTGGCACTTGTGCGCTAGCCAACAGCTCACAGATACAGTGAGGGTAGACTGTGTGGGTAGGCTAGTCTACATGATGAGATTATTATGGATAAAAGCAATAACATTTTTTGGGTCAAACGGCAGTTAAGCATTGATCATCATGTCACCAGAATAAGACCCTCAATATTTATTGGATAGGAGCATCAAGATCCACCATAGTTCATCCATCGATCCATCAAGTTCATCACAACTTATTTCATCTGTAGCCTAATAAACTGCATGGTTTGTATTTGTATTTTTTATTATGGATCCCCATTAGTTGCTACCAAGGCAGCAGCTACTCTTCCTGGGGTCCAGCAAGATTAAGGAAATGACATACAATTAAAACATTACATTTCACAACACATTATTACACAGTACTCTACTGCAACATATTTACAATAAAAAATCCATATGTACGTGTGTGTAGCGTGTGTGTGTGTTAGCATGTGTGTGTGTATGCACGTGTGTTAGCATGTGTGTGTAGCGTGTGTGTTTGTTAGCATGTGTGTGTGTATGTGTTTGTGTGTGGCTGTGTGTATGTGTCTATTCACAGTCCGCTGTTCCATAAGGTGTCGTTTTATCATTATTATTTTTTAAATCTGATTTTACTGCTTGCATGAGTTCCTTGATGTGGAATAGAGTTCCATGTAGTCATGGCTCTATGTAGTACTGTTCATTTCCCATAGTCTGTTCTGGAGTTGGGGACTGTGAAGAGACCTCTTGTGGGGTATGCATGGGTGTCTGAGCTGTGAGTATGCATGAGTTTCTGAGCTATTTAAAAAAATATGTATTATCCTCCTGAGACCCAGAAATTCATTTTTGTCCTCTCCAGTGGACATAAGTTCTTGGTCCGTATCTCTGAGGCCATACAAGCCACTGTATTAAGTCCTGTTGTCCATTTGAGAGGATATTCTGGGCTTTTCAGTGATATCAAGTGTGTGGGGGTGTGACCTTGACAACTTTATCTTCCTGGTTCTTAAATACATGGCAGCCATCAAAGTTAGCACATTTTATGGACATTTGAAAAGAGGTGTGTGTAATTATTAATTATTATTCAAAATGTTTCTAGTAAGTGAATATCTCAGGAACAGTTAAATGAGTTGTCAGGACATTAAATAAGAGCTAATCAAGAAATGTCCTCTGTAGTGGACACCCGGATGCTGCAACTACTGTATGTTTTTCACCTACTGTACCCATTCACTGTCATATCAATTTGTTAATATTTACGTTCTAATGACCACTACAAAGGTTCATTTTTCACTTACAATAAAATATAAATAACTATATATTTGCAAAATGTTCTTAGCTACCATTGCATCTAAATGTTTTGACCATGACAGTTTACAATCCAGGGTTACACCAAGCAGTTTAGTCTCCTTAACTTGATCAATTTCTACATTATTCATTACATTATTTAGTTGAAGTTTAGGGTTTAGTGAATGATTTGTCCCAAATACAATACAATGCTTTTAGTTCTTAAACTATTTCTTCCCACCCATTCTGAAACGGACTGCAGCTTTTTGTTACATTTTGCTGTGATTTCACTTGCTGTGGTAGCTGACATGTATAATGTTAAGTCATCAGCATACATAGACTCACAGGCTTTACTCAGTGCCAGTGGCAGGTCATTAGTAAAGATTAATAAAAGTAAGGGGCCTAGACAGCTGCCCTGGAAAATGCCTGACTCTACCTGGATGATATTGGAGAGGCTTCCATTAAAGAACACCCTCTGTGTTCTGTTAGACAGGTAACTCTTGATCTACAATATAGTATGATTGATAATGTCAAAACCTGCACGGAAGTCTAACAAAACAGCTCCCACAATCGTATTATTATCAATTTCTCTCAGCCAATCATCAGTCATTTGTGTAAGTGCCGTACATGTTGAGTGCCTTTCCCTATAAGCGTGCTGAAAGTCTGGCTGTTTGAGCCAGTAAAGGGTGCTTTGCTATTCTTGGGTAGCGGAATGACTTTGGCTTCCCTCTAGGCCTGAGGGTACACACTTTCCTGTAGGCTTAGATTGAAGAGATGTCAAATAGGAGTGGCAAAATAGTCCCCTATCATCCTCAGTAATTTTCCATCCAAGTTGTCAGACCCAGGTGGCTTGTCATTGTTGATAGACAACAATACATTTTTCACCTCTTCCACACTCATAATTACAATGCTTGTCTTTCATAATTTGGTCAGTTATGCATGATTGTGTAGGTTCAGAATTAGCTTTTGGCAAATGCCCAAGTTGCCATGCCCAAATTTGCTTATCTTGCAAATAAAAGAATAATTAAAGTAGTTGGCAATTTCAGTGGGTTTTGTGGTGAATGAGCCATCTTACTCAATGAATAACAAAGCAGAGTTTGTGTTTTTGCCCAATATTTCATTTAAAGTATTCCAAAGCTTTTTACTATTATCCTTTATATCATGTATCTTTGTTTCATAGTACAGTTTCTACCTTTTTGTTTAGTTTAGTCACATGATTTCTCAATTTACAGTACGTTTGCCAACTGTCCGTGCAGCCAGACATATTTGCCATTCTTTAGCCTCATCCCTCTCAACCATATACATGTTCAGTGCACAGGGATTTAACAGTTTCTACATTCATTTTCTTAATGGGTGCATGCTTATTAGTAACTGGAATAAGCAATTCCATAAA